CCTAGACTTGAACTTTAGAAATAAATTCATCTTAGATTTCGTGATCTCATTTAACATCTTCATTTAGAGAGAAAGTGATAGGCGTTGGCGAGATAAATTGCATTGTATCGGATAGTCTGAGAACGCGGAAAATACTGTATTATATATTGTTTTACCACGGTTTTTTTATTACATAATTATTTTAATAATAGTTTATTAATGTTAGTAATATGGGTTTATATTGTATTTTTTACCTGCGACGGCCACGGAGACGGTGTTTGCGTTTAGGGTAAGAGGTGTTTTTCTCGGAAACGGATAGGCCGATTTTGAAACGGTTTTTTGCTTAGTATAACTGAAGAATGCATATCAATCTATAATATATCAATCTATAATATACTAATATTACAAAGAGGTAAAGTTTGTGAGTTTGTGATTTTGTGACGTTGTAAGAAGATAGTTTTTGGCAAGAAGATAGTTTGAAACCCTGGGAAGGACATAGTACCTATACTTTTTATCCCGGAAATCATCCCTTAAGAGGGTAAAAATGGGGATGAAAGTTTGTATTGGGAAGCGAGCTAGGGACGAACCCGAGCGAAACGAGGGTCAGTCGCCAATTAACAATAAAGCTACTGGCACGTACCTACTACTTTTTGTGTACAGTCTACAACATATTACGTATATTTCTATATTAGTATATTACATAATTCTCTTCTATTACATATTAATGTCGTGCGTTTTTGAAATTTTTATTTGAATTTTTTTCATGTCACAAGTTCCCATTGCAGGTTTTTAAAATTTTTAATTTATAATAACTCTCTCATTACCTGTCAACTAAACCCAAGGTAAAAAAATATTATTACCTACATAGAAACAATATGTACTTTCAAGAAACACAATTATGCGTAATATCAATGGATTTCAGAATCTTGAATTTTTTTCGGTGTCCGTTTCACGTGAAATACCACATACCTATTAATTATTATCTCGAGACGAAATGGTTTCTGTGGGACAGAGCAAAAGTTTTGTGGGCTTTTCGAAAACGAAGGACAGTCAGTATTTTTTAAAGTTATACTTCTTTTGGGAAGTTTTGTAAAATTATGAGAGTAAAATTTTTACGATGCGCGCGCACACTGACAGCCGAAAAGCGACATGATGAAGTTAGCTGATAAGTGTTTATTGCCATGGTAACCGTTGTTATTGTCTGACAAATAATTTATATATATAATATTATATTCTTTCCTTAAATGATATTCTATAACTACGAGTATATATTATGATTGTAAGTAATATGCCTAATATGCGTTATTTAATTATTTTATTAATTTATCATTTCTTTTACAAGCAGAGAGTTGTGACATACGGGATGAAATCTTTAGCTATTTTTGTTCTGTTACGCCAAAGTAGTATAACTTTTTACATGCGTACATAAGTAAAGACACATATTTTTTTATATTATGTTTAGGTCTCAACTATGCTAAATGATTATGATTCGCCCAAAATCCTTTGATAATAATGATACATATATCATATCGAATATTGGTACAGGCTTAGTAGAGACGCTACTCAAACAGATAAACTTAATCTATACTAATATTATAAAGAGACAGAGTTTGTTTGTTTGTTCCTTATAATTTTCATGATAGGTACTAGTGGTTTTCCTTCCCTTAAGGCGTTCACTACAAAAATGTATATAAATGTATGAGAGTACTCAATAAGCGGTTTTTTGTCACTTGGATGAAGGATAGTTGGGTTTTAGTGTGTAGTACTGGCTTTATTACGCCGGTGAGTCCCACACCTCGTGCGTAAATGCATTTCCCAACGTTAAAAAAAAAGGATAGAATATGTAAGTGCATAAATATCAAATATTTACAATTTAAATCTAACATAACAAATTACGTAAGTAAATACTAACACAATTTAATATGTGGTGGTATTCTTTTCTTTTGTTTTAATTTTCTCGTGAATGATTTGAGAATACAAAACACAGCAATTTCTTTAAGTCCTGGCCAATTTGTCGCCTAGAGCCAATTCTCAAATTTAACGCGGCTTAAAAATTCTTTCTTATTGCAATTAAGTCATTATTTTTGGTTAGAATAATGTATCCAGTAATTAAAAGTTAAAACGTTTAAATTATCATATATTATGTTAATTATTCGTCATTTTCTTTACGAACCTAACAAAAGTAGTATATACAATCTGTGACGTAGCATATTAGCAGTTGAAACGGAATTCACGATCCAGTTATTTACATCAAAAATTAACGACTAAGACTAAACGTTTATTTACTTACCTATCTGTTTATTTAAACTTTAAATATCTTTTAAATATAAGTAAATTAATTATTTAAGATTGTTTATTATAATTAATTAAATTATAAAACTTAATCAAGACATATATATACATATATATATATATAAATAAAATTATAACTGAGCCGAATCTGTACATTAAATATTTTTTTGGAAAATCTTATTGAAATAAAGATTTTTATAAATACAGAGTTTTTAGATTTTTTGTCTGTCTGTCTTAGAACGCATCGCGGAAAACCCACTGGAGGGATTTTGATGATATTTGGTATGATGATAGCTGGTTATCCGGGTCAAGATATAGCATACTTTTTACTGCAGGAAAATATCTCATCTCTGAGAAATCTATACTAAACGTTAAAGAGTAAGTAGGGATCAACCCGAGCGGAACAAGGGTGAGTCGGTAGTCATTTAATAATTATCCTTATCAGTGATAAAACTAACTCATTTTCAGCCGTCTTGGTCCTGTGGTTCTTATCCCGTTGATAACATATGGACCAAAGGACTGTGGGTTCGTTTTTAGTATTCAATAGACATATGTTACATATAATGTCTCCATTTATATATTGTCACTGAGTGGTCCTACAAGAAAAGTCTACCTAAACAGTTATAATTTTCGGTCACTCATATCTAAATTAACTGTTTATCCTTGTACGTTGTCGTTTTATGATAACCCCTAAAGTACGACGAGTGCAATGTTCACGTTTGCGATAAAAGCTGTACTGGACAATTAACCTTTTGGCAATTAATACTATGTTACTCTAGGGTCGAATTTTGGCCATTTTTAAACCCCTAGCCATGTAAGAGCACATAAAATTTCTCGGACTTCTCCCCCTCCTTACGTAAGATTCTACCTGGTATTAGAAAATTTCACCATAATTTGATGTAAATCAAAGATTTTATTTTTCAAATTTTACATTAAAAAAGAAAAAATAAATCTTTAATAACAGTTGTTTTCTCCAACGCTTAGCTCTCAAATATCCATCACTCTATGTTAGAAATCACACGCACAAATATGGGCATGTAAAGATTTTGAAAACCTTTCAGGGCCTTTACGTAATTAATGAATGGCCCCTCAGTCCCATATTTCATTTTCACTAATAAAATAAGTGCTAAAATTTGTTTATTGATTTATTTGTTTTTCCTACTTTAATGTTTCACAGTATCAACGTAATTTTTACACATAGACAACAAACTGACTTTCTGCTCCATATGCATAAGTGACACTGCATTTTAGACCACATCAACTGACTTCTGTATTGAAAGATTATAGAACGTACAGTTACTGAACTTTTAATTAAAAAACATACTTTACAAGAAATAATTCAATCTTAGAAGTACATCTATACATATAATAAAATTGTATTGAAATAGACATGTACATAAAATATTTTTTGGAAAATCTTATTGAAATAGACATTATTATCGATACTGAGTCCGAATCTATAGTTTTTAGAAATTTTGTTTGTCTGTCTGTCTGTCTGTTACCGCATCAGGACAAACCACTGGACAGATTTTGATCAAATTTGGTATGATGATAGCTGGTTATCCGGGTCAACATATAGGATACTTTTTACCGCGGGAGAATATCTCATTTCTGAGAAAAAATACAAAAACTGCATTGTAAGAGTATACTAATATGTAAAACCTAAGAATTTGGTTTTTGGTCATCTGAACGCGGGTGGGGCCGCGGGCAATGCTAGTAAAAAATAAAGGTTTCGTACGCTTGCTGCTTTAATTTTAGTTTATTGGCCTTATTGTGAAAACGAGATTCACGAGGAAAGATTGATAACGAAAACCGCAATCTTCAAGACAATTTATCATACCCTACTCCGTTCGTCACGTGACCGCCTGCATATCAACGACATCTAACAAGCACAAGTGGACCGAATTGATTAATGAATGAGTAACATCGAATATATTATCTAAAATAATTATGGTGAAGCCATTTCATAAGTTTCGATTGATTTCAAGCAAAATAATAATATTTTATAGATCATTAAAAGTTATGTATACAAATAATAAAATTGTAACTGATCGCTGTCTAAAAACGCATTAGAACCCAAAACCATGATTTTTAGAATTTTTTACTGTTTGTTTGTGCGTGTGTGCGGGCTAATCTCAGAAACGGCTTAACCGATTTGGAAGCGGTTTTATTTAATGTATTTTTTAAGCTTCGCTTAACATTGAGTGTTTGTTTTATTTCAATCGGTTTATAAAAAAAAAAAGTTATGTCAATTTAAAGAATCACCGAGCAAAGCCAGGGTGAATCGCTAGTTTTAAATATATTTATTTTCTTTAATTCATCTTATCTTATAAGTACACAGTTAATGTATTATTAATCTAAATTCCATGATATTAGGACGTTAGCGATGTTTTTAGCCATCCGAGCAACATGGAAAATGAGGACAATTTTGAAAGTAACAAAATACATTTTGTAGTATCAACTTGCATTTTTTGACGATTTACATTGTATTTCAAGTTCTTTAACCAAACTTTGAAAATCTTTATTATGTACATAAAGAGAAATAATTGTAGAGGAGGCTTGTTGACATGTTCAATTGGGTTCAATACGGGAAACGTAAATTTTCTATGTTTTATTTAACATTATATTAATTTAATATTATTCCATTGCCAATATTTCATCTGTTTACTCCTACTTTCATAAATATTTTATAATTTATTGGTATGATGTCGTTAATTGAAATAATTTTAACTCGTTTGTATAAATAATAAAAGAAAAGCAAAGTTAACAATCGCGCCGCCAAAGAATGTTAGATGAAGTTCGCAGAATGGACATAAACATAGCAAAACTGGGGGCTTTGCCAAGTTGTTCTCAGGGTCGCGGACGTTTCGGCTTAGGTGAAATTGTTCCTCATACGTATAAAAAACATGCGCTATAAATATTCACAATATGCTCGCAAAAAGTAAACTTGTTATTTCACTTGTCTTTCTAGACTTACCTCTCAGTAACTGGTACGGCTTTGGATTTGAGCTCGTAGAACATGAAGTCCTGCTGATCCTGGCCAGTGGTCATCTCGTCCAAAATCCTTTGGTCAATATTGAAATCGTTCGTTAATAGAGAAGCGAGATCATATCCCATATCGATACCGGATTCATCCATTTTTAAACATACACAAAAACACAAACTTTTTCACTAAAACCACGTCCGATATTAAAAATTTTATGTATGCATATTTAATAACAATACGTAATTATTAAAACGAGAATAGGATGAATATCTATACGGCATCCATCCTCCCAGCTGTCTACTTGTTGCTATTGTTGACTATTACATAGATATAATCCTATACGTACGAAAATGAGTGACTGTAATACAGATAATTTTAGTAGAACATCATATACTTATTCTGATTATGACTTTACAGTACATTTTAATTTGGTTGCTTTATTTCATTGTGAAAATTTTTGCAATGGCAACTTTTGACAAAATTGTAAAATATATTATCAGGAAAATGTAGTTACTGTGTTATTTTTTTCGAATAGTGTATTCTTATTTCACATTTATTTTTATTTCATATATTTCATACGCTATTTATAGCGCAAACGTTCAAATTATAGTAACAATACAATTTTAATACTTCGACGTTTGGAAAAAAAACAAAGTAAGCGCACAGCGCAGACTTTGGAGGGTAGAACCTATCCTCCATAGCGCAGACATATAACTTACATACATTTTTAGTAAAAATATAAATAAATGTACAACAATATAAAATCCGAAAATTGGATATTATTCAAATTAATATGATAAAATAATTTAAAAATAGTAAAATAATAAAATATATTTTTAGAAATGCATTTTTGTTTGCCAATAACTAACGTTTCACCGTACTATGAGTTCCAAGTTTTTGGAATTATATTTTCTCACAATTTATAAGTAGATAGCATTTATATACAATGATAATAATTAATTAGTAACTTTACGAAAGAAAACTGAATTGTTTTGAAGAATAAATACAATTTCTAGTATCTATGCCCGTGGCTGCCAATTGAAAATGGAAATCTTAATTCTATTATCTGTGCACTGTGATCTATGACTTGTGTTGTAAAGATTCGGCGTTTGTGAAAAATTATTTCAATTTATTACTGCTATTCAGTTTCTTGTATACAAATAATAACTTTATTTAAAGTAAAATGTCGAAGGCACATCCACCAGAGTTAAAAAAGTAAGTGTCCTCTTATAATTTTTGTTTGCATGCTATTTAAAAACTTAGCGTCCCGCGTTCTTCATAACCTCAAGTTAAAGTATTTCATGATTAATAGATTAGTGATTAAACTTTATTTTCGTGAGTCATAAGATAATTTTCCCGTTTTAATTGTTTGCACTTATAGATTCATGGATAAGAAACTGTCAATAAAGTTAAATGCCGGTCGAGCAGTAACCGGTGTACTCAGAGGTTTTGATCCCTTTATGAATTTGGTTTTGGATGAATCAGTCGAAGAATGCAAAGATGGACAACGCAACAACATTGGGATGGTGGTATGATGTCATTTACCTTGATAAAATGAATTACTGGCAACTGGCTTACTAAAATTTAAAATATATAAATGATCATTGTGCTACATTATTTAGTTCTAATCGCCTAATTAGTTTTGGTAATACTCTGTGTTTTAGTTTGAGTAAAAACAAATAGGTGATAGTTGAGAATATGGCGTAAATGTAAAATCTCTTTAACTAGGGAAAGTATAGATAATAACAAACATGCAGTCCAATAACTTATTAATCCTTTGTTTTCTTTTTGTAGGTTATTCGTGGAAACAGCATCATCATGTTGGAGTCATTAGACAGAATATAGTACATACTACTATATTCTTTTTAGAAATAAGTTAATATTAAATTTAAAAAATGTCCACTGAAGAATGGGTGTAAGAAGTTTACTATGTATTTTTTAAATAAGTTACATTTGGTATTAATTTCAATACACCAAGACTCTTTAAGTACCAAATAAATGTTAAGGCTTATGATGTTTTTTATTTGTTAGAAATTGTTTTTTTTTGCATTTTATCCTCGAAAGTCAACTATTTTATAACATTATCACAAGTAACATATTTTTATACCACCTATTTACCCGAAATGCCTTAGTTAAAAGATATGTATTAAAATATCAGAACCTTAAAATTAAATTTATGAATTTAGTATTGTTTTGTTAAAAAAATTGATACTTTTGATATGCAATTTTAGCAGTTTATCATTTTAACTTTATTTATGGGTGATAAGCCATATCAGTTATGACATTAAGGTACATTTACATGAATTCAACAACAGGCGATTTTGAGGAAAACAACACTGTTGCCGTTTGTTGAATGAGTCTTGCAAAAGAGCGACAACCGTTCTACAAAATACGAGTTGTTGAAACGCGTTGCTTTGTATCCACAGATGTTGCATTCTTCAACAATGTTGCTTCTACAAATCATATTTTTTGGTCATTTTGTAATATTTACCGAGTTATAAAAAAGGAGAAAACGCTGAACGAGAAGCACGAATGCTTTTCATGATTCTTTATTAAAAAGTTGTCCTATATTATTTAAAAAAATCGGTCCTTAGATTGGTTATTATTTTATTTTAAAGTGATTTAAATTTGCTGTCTTTCTACATAAAATGTAATTTGTAAATATTTTAAAATAATATTAACACAAAAATACATGTCACACTAATTCTGTATTTATATTACATATAAAAATTAATTAAAATTAAAAAATAATATGTAATTTTAATTATTACTCAGGCTAAACCACAAACAATATAGAAATGTACGGCTAAAGTAAATTACTATATGCATAATTTTAAAATTGGTAAATAGCAATCCATCATCTGATATTAGGTCCTTTAGTAAATTGTTTCGGTATCCACTTGTAAACATTGCCTGTTTCCACCATCGTTGTTTTCTCGTTTCTTTCCGAATAGTTTCATTCAGTACATCAATTGTGAATTGTTAGAATTTTTAACCTCCGACGCAAAAAAAGGGATGTTATAAGTTTGACGTCGATGTCTGTCTGTGTCTGTCTGTGGCATCGTAGCTCTCAAACGAATGGACCGATTTCGATGCGGTTTCCTGTTTGTGAATGTTTGGTTCATATCGGTCCAGCAGTGTAAGAGATACTCTGACACTCTTCTGCAAAATGATGTAAGGCATTTTGGCGTATGATTACTTGATTAAATGCTTCATGCGTGCCAGTGTAACTAATCGTTAAACGACAATTAAATTGCGTAGGGGTTTTTTTAATGTATAATTATATATATTACCTAAAACAAAAGATTCATTCCTGTTTATGGTGGACCAAGAGTTAACAAACTAAAAAAACGCTTTAAATAGGAACACTACAAATCAGTTCCTAAAATCCAAGTCTAACCTTTTGGGCTTGCCAAATCAAACCAAATAAGCTTAAACTCAATGTATTCTCTAGCAGCCTTTGAGGAGTTTAACAATCCAGTATCGGCCTTGTGGGTTCACTCACCTTCATGATGCCCAATCGCAGTACCTACTATCGGAAATGCAAACACTTGCAAAGTTTTATGTCGATATGACAATTAGAAATAGTTAGAAAACATGGATGACAAATAAAATTAGAAAAGACTAATTAGATATGTTTATATATTTAAACTTTCATGGTATTTTTTTATTTTCCCGGAAACGAACTGTGGCAAAAACACCTCGGGAGTCGGGATATATCTTAATAGAATACAATTTAAAGTAGAAAATCGATTAAAGCGTTTATGTGAAATCGATGAATACTGAATACTCATAAAAAATTCATACAGACAGACTAACATAGAACCTTCTAACTCTTACTTTTTGAAAATCGGTTAAAAATCAAAAACTATGTATTGGATTTACAGTACATATTCATAGATGGCGCTTTCACTTTAAGTATTGTTTTAACACTTTAAAACTATTAGTCACTACTAAAATATGGTTTCATAAAATACACATTGAATTTAGCTATTTTTAACATATTTTACAATGATTATTACTTTACATATTTATAAATTATGATGATTTACAAACTAACGACATCTATTATTTATTTATTTAAGCTTTGTTTTGTAAATATTATTAAATGTAATAAAATATTATTTTACAATGCCATTTTAGTTAAAAGTATAATTTTTAGTGAATTAATAAATCATATAGATGTTTAATATTATTTTAAAAAAATAAGTTTAACCTTGAACTATGTATGTAGACTTGCCAATCTTAATATTGAACGCGATATAAATTGCAAAACTTCAAAATCATATGACAAGAAAACAAAGAAATTTTTAAACGAGTTTGACATTTGGATGATTAAATGCTAGCAATATGAGTCGTTATTTGTTGACAATTTATAAAAAAAATAAAGAAGTAATAAATTAAAAGTTAAAAATTAGTGAAGTAATAAATTAGTTATTCTATAGAAAGTAGAAGTTGCTGAACAGATAGAAAAATAATAATATTTTACAGGAATACGAGGATCTAACATTTCATTACCGACTGTAAGTTTTTATTTGGCTTCGTCACAGTTTGTTTTTACAAAAAAATATCATTGTTTGATTGTTTTTTAAAGATATTCTCTTTGTAAACCGGTTTCCTGATCGTTTACAACTTGAGAGTTTAGAGCCTGAATTTTTATTCATTCAATTGTGTTATGGTGAGGTCATCGTAACGCATATATATATATATATATAGGTCATAGAATATACAGTACGTTGTTATATAGTGCAGCATTATAGTTATTATACCTTAATTGGATTGTTTTCTTATTCCAAGAGTTCTTGTGCATAATTATCTTCGATTAGTTCTTGTAGAACTTATTTTTATTATTACATACTAGACATAGGAAGTAATGTCCAGTTAACATGGAAGACATAAATCTGAGTAAGTAAATTCATACTTTTAATAAAGAATGCCCTATTGTGATTTATTTTAAAATCTTAAGTAAATGAAATGCGTAAATAATTCAATTACTTACTTTTCTTTACCTTTTAGCAAAAAATATAATGATCTATCAATATAATCAGTAGTAAGTATAGGTTTTTTTACCTAATAAAGACCAATCTCCCACAAGAGCTTTTATTATTATTATTTTTTAAGCTTGTTTTAATAAACAGATCTATTAGCTTTTTTTGGTGAGAAATAAATAAAAAATAATTATTATTTAATTCTAATTAAAAATTTAGTATTATTAGGATAAATTTGTTTTTAGTAATATTAATAAAACTATATCAACAAAAATATTATATTCAACAGTTGACATGTTCTAGTTTCATGTGTTACATGAGATGTTTGTTTTGGTAAAATGCATCACCTCATTGGCACTCTTTTTGTTAAAGAGGTGACGGTTTTGATTTTCACAGGCTTGAGTCTTAAGCCAAACAAGGTATTTTCTGTTAACAATTTTTCCATAGAGAGTCTAGACTTCTGAAATTAAGTATTCCACTTCAATGTATCTTTCAGTTCGTTTTAGTGACCTATAGAATAGCTGTGAATTAAGCTAATACAATATACATGCATGTTTAAAATGTGTATATTGTTCACTAATAAAATAGTAATAGTCTAGTAATAAATAATTAGGCAGGACATTATTATATACTCATAGACACATTGATACAAGAGGACAATCTTATATGTATGTACACACTTATAAAAAAAACAAAGATAAGCACCTCCCCCAAAGTTTTAAATTGATAATAATTTAAAATAATTTGTAAAAAACCCAAATAATCTATATAACAAAACAATATAAAGGCTGACTCAATATTGGATTGGTAACACAGTCCTACTGACAAATTATGATAATGCCTGTTAATAATATGGGTAATAAATATTATTTTATTTATTATCAGCAATTACTACAAATTTGCATATCAATCAACTATGTATGTTATTAATGATTTTGTTATTGTTGTAAACAGTATTTAATAAATCTACAAGACCATATTTTTACTTTGTGATTTTGTAATGCGAGTAGTTTTTTTGAGAATATATATTATTTGCTAGAAGTTAGAAACTACTGTATTTAGTCACTTTAGAATGTAATTAATATATTTGATTTCCTTATGCATAATAATCAAAGTTTTTTACATTATTTATCTTATTATTTCAATAACAATATTATAATCACTTTAAAATGACAAGATTAATCTCTGTTATGCCTTCTCTATCGTATATCATTATATAACTAAATTGGGTTCAGACTGCATATTTAGAACTATTAAAAAGAATTGAAAAATGATTAGATACGATTTGGTTACAATCTACATAGATCTCTGTAAAACTACAAAAATTATTAAAAAATGAATTGTAATTTATTTACAGGGACAAAGCCAACTAATATGGTAGATATATTGGACCCACTTTCCCCGAGTGTGAATGATTCTGGCAGTTCAGGGCTTATGCATAAACTGAGGATGAGATTTGGTAGATCTTCACCACCGAGACCACCAGGAGATGGTAAATTTTATGCTGATAAATCTTATTGATACAGTATTCTTCCTTATATATAAATACAATGACTTCAATATTACCTTCAAAATGACCAGTGGTCATATTTTTTCTCGATAGACCTCAATACTGCTGTTTGTTAGTTGGTTCCTTAATTTATGTGTTTGTACAGCAAAGGATCAACGACAAAGTTTCTTATAGAGATATTACTTTGACTAGTAAACAAATAGGGTTTTAGCTCGCAATCTATAACACTAACATATCATATCAGTAACATATTTTTGTTTATACTCCATTTTGAACAATTAACTCTATTTCTTATGTTTTCGGACTTAATCACCATGCCCACTTAAAAATGTACTCTATATTTTAAAAAACTTACATAACTATACATAAACTAAGTATATTTTATGATTAAATAAAAATATTATATTGGATCTAATTCACCAGCTATCTACATAAAACCTACTTAGTTGTAATGTTTTTGTAATCAAAGAAAACTGCACTGTGTCATTGTGCTCAAGTGTTTCAAGGTCGCAGCAAAAACATCTGCGAGGTCACTCTGAATTATATGCTATCAGTTCAAAAACAAATGCTGTTTCGTAAACACGCCATGGTGGAGAAAATTAGTAGTGGTGATTTTGTTTTAATTTTTAATCCCCGACGTAAAAATGATGGGGTGTTATAAGTTTGATGTGTGTTTGTGTGTCTGTCTGTGGTATTGTAGCTCTTGAATAGATGAATCGATTGTGATTTTTTTTTGTTTGAAAGGTTTAATTATTAGTAAGGAGTGTTCTTAGCTATGTTTAATGAAAATCGGTCCAAGATGGTCGGGGTTTTTTAAATTTTTAATTTATTATTATTATCATTGTGACTTAGGTCTATGTTGGCTGGTTGGGGCAAATGAAAAGAAAAGTGCTTTATTATAAATTTTACATATTATGTGCCATGTGATGTGTAAATTATATAAATTATATGTAATGTGAGAATATGAGTATTATCGTTGAGTAATACATAACACTGGTATTAATTGTATACAGCTGTGAGCAAACACAAATCAGATATTAAAATACTTGTAGTATAATATATAAATAGTTTAATTTTTTTATTCAAAGATATTTTTTACATAGTAGATACTCTGTTATATGGAAGTAACTAAATCCAATAATAACCTTGTACAATAATGATAACTCCTTGAGAACTACTGGTTTACCAATAATAATTTCAGTATAAAAATTCAAATTAAAGAACACAAAGCTCAAGCGCACGGAAGACGCAAATATATTTTTTGTACATGAGAACAAGTTTTTACATTTAGTATTAATTTGATTGATAAATGAATGGATGAATTTGATTGTGGACAAAGTAACTATATTACTTTAGTATTACGTTTTTGTGCGATGAGAAGGTCAGAGTGTATATATGCAATATGCTCAAAGTCAGATTTAAACATGCATTTATCTATAAGGTATGGGTAATGAAACTACTTGTTAGTCCCACTGTTCATAGGTAGTAGTAGGCCAGTCGAACCTAAAAAATTAAAAGGATTTTTCTTAATTATACAATCTTTTCGGATATTTTCGCGGATATATTTAGATTTTTGGTTCCCGACGTTCGAATGCGAATCCGAATGCTTTACAGCAATCATGAGTCTGAATATTTATTTTATTATCTTTATATATTTTTCAGGATATGTGGAATTTGGGGAGTTCAGATCCGAGCGACCTGGTATCAAAAAGGTTGGCACGTTTGCAGGAGTGTTCTGCCCCGTGGTGCTATCTATGTTTAGTGCTCTAGTTTTTATACGAATGGGTAATTTATTTTAAATTTATTTATTCACACCTCATTCATATACAATGCGGATTTTATGCAAATGAACATTTTTTACAATTTCATTTTTTGTTCAATATAATTTTGGTTGTAGAATACTAAAAATACATATTGTAAATATGTATTATATGTATATTCATTGTCTTTAAAATTAGTAAGCAAATTAGTAATTTTAACGATTACATTTCTAAATAAGATATAATATGAGCAAACGATAATCTTTTCCAATGAATTTTCAGTTTACCAGATAAAAGATAAACAAAGTACTTCTACTTAGTTGTAAATATTGTCATTTTCTTGTTTTCTTGCTGCTAAATATTTCAATGAGTACTTATATTCTAAAAATATATATTATTTTTTACAGGATATTTAGTAGGCAACGCCGGGCTTTTAGTGACGCTAGCACAATTCGGAATGGCATATTTAATAGTTGGTTTTACTGTGATGTCAATCTGTGCGATTTCAACGAATGGAGCCGTTGAAGGGGGCGGAGTTTATTGTATCCTTTTTAACAATAATAGTAATTTTGTAGACATTTTGCATATCGCAAATAAGTAGGAAAATTGTTTTATTTTTTTTGACATTAACGCACAGCACCATCTAGTTCCATGGTAAGCTATGAGGCTTGTGTTATGGGTACCAGGTAGTTGATACACTACATATATATAACTTTAAGTACATACATATTATAAATATAAACACTCATGACTGGAGTACAAACATTCGTGCTATCGCACAAATAAATGCCCCCAGCGGGACTCGAGTCCGCGACCGCTGGCACAGCAAGTACGAGCACTATATTATCATTAATATAGTATGAAACTCACATTCTAAAAATTAGATAAATATTCGTTTATTAGGATAAGAACTCTAATAGAGTAAAAATATTATACGTCAATTTGTGATGTATTTTACATATCGAAATATATTAGATTTGCTTTGCATCGGCAGGCACCGACTTCGAAAATATCTGATTAGGTATCTATTCTAAATAAAAACCCCCGTTTAGTTATTTTTTACATTTTAGTGCCTGGAAGTCGTTTTTTTTTAAGTTTTTATTATTATTTAAAATGTAAACCTACGTTTAAAAGTGCTATTTTTTAATAAAATATTTTTTTTTCACATTAAATATTGTACAGTTAATGAATTTTTAATGATTTCGAATATAAGAAAACCGTTAGCTACTATTAAATATCGATATACACCGATTTCATTTTATCGATTCACTTTCGCTCATTGATAATATGTGGTCAATAAAGCCCTAAACAAAAATCAGTCATGATAAGCAGAACTTTAGGTCCAGAATTCGGTGGTGCTATAGGAACGTTATTCTTTCTCGCCAATGTCGTTTCTAGTGCGCTCTGTATTTCTGCCTGCACTGAAGCCTTAGTTGAAAACTTTGGGCCTAATGGTAAATATGACTTTAAATACATTGATGACAAATTAAAAAAAATATAAAAAAAAAACCATTACAATAACTACTTATTGAGGCCATTTCAATGAGCCTAAACACGATATCTCTGCAGTATTTTAGTGAAGAGTTGAGTATCTTGGGTAGTAGTATATATTAGGTGACGCTGCAGCATCAGGCCGAGGTTACCATGTCATTGCAATGTTATTGAAGTAACGGGATAACAAATTTCTAATGGATTAAATCTTTTCCTTCTCCGTCTAGAAAAGTGCTGATGGCTTGCAAACGGCTGAACGGATTTTCATCATTTATAGCTAAAAATCTCGATTAAGTCACCTAACAAAAAAATAAATAAATTAAAATCGGTTCCTCTATTTGGGCGCTACGATACTAGAGACAGATAAACATAAACACGCGCGATTTACGCTAATATTTGACATATTAAATAAAACTTATCTTTTTTTCACCATGATTGCTGTAAAGCATTCGAAACGTCGGGAACCGACGTAATCAACGTAAATTAGCGAAAAATTCCGAAAAGATGCTTTATTTAAAACAGCTACCCTTTTGAACCCACATACGCTACGATCTGGAATATTACGTATGCTTCAGTTAGGCACTCGAAGTTATAACGCTATACATAAAAAAAATCGCATTACTAGGCTACCTAGTTGGGGAATCTCCGGGCCTACCAAACGGCTACTGGTACAGGTTCCTGTATCGTTCAGCGCTGAACGCGGCGGGGCTGGGCGTGTCTCTCGCTGGTGCGTCCCTCTTCGCTCGCACCAGCCTCGCTATATGGCTTACCACCGTGGTCTGTCTGTGTAGCTCATTCCTCAGCTTCTTTGTTACTGCTCCTGGACAGGTGAGTGTTATATATTTTGTTTAAATTGTGTTATTAAAATCCTGACCGATTACGGCTTTTAGCCAATCTTACTGAAACTGAAACTCCGTCAACTTCCCAACTCCGGGCTGTTACTGATACTTTCTTAACAGACAAAGTAGCTAAACTAGGCCCGACCCGGGACTCAAACCCAGGACCTCCGGATCAGCAGCCGTGCATGCTAACCACTGGATCAACAATGCAGTTAATTATATAGGCAATATACTAGTGACTCCTCTCGCTTCGCTCGGGTCCTTCTCTAGGTTGATTTCCCATACAAACTTTCATCCCTATTTTCACCCCCCTTAAGGGATTATTTCGGGGATAAAAACTATCCTGTCCTTCCCAGGGTCTCAACTATCTTTTTACTAAATTTCATCTAAATCGGTTAGTATTTTCGGAGCATGTTCGATACAAACAAACAAACAAACAAAAAAACAATTTTTTCCTCTTTGTAATATTAGAATAGATAATTGAAACATATACTTATAAACAATTTTAATTTCTTCATACAGATAGAAAAACCAGATACAAACCTAATAGTGAATGCAACAAACTTCACCTACACGGGTCTGAGCGCGGCGACACTACGGGAGAACTTATATCCGCACTATGCGAGAGACTACAGCACATCGGACGGTGAAATGGTGGACTTTGCATCGGTCTTTGGGGTCCTCTTTACGGGGGTCACGGGGGTCATGGCTGGGGCTAACATGAGTGGTATGTGATAGTTGTATGGTTTTTAATTAGTTTTGGAAAATTTTTTCCTTATCACACGTTATTCGGTACAATTGAAGAATAAGAGCTAAACCGAAACAAGTGGAATGTTTCGACCGTCACGACACTTTTTATTATTTACTAACCACTCACCCCCTCTTTGCTTTGGTTCGTCCCTAGGTTGATTCACCATACATATCCGGCTAATCTCCGAAAAGGCTGGATGATTTTGACGGACTACTTTTATTTTATAAAAAGTATGAGGGATCCGTATAAAAAAATTAACTCATTATATTGCGAAATCCGCGTACCTAGGGATAAGTCGCTAGTTTCATCTAAATCAGTCCACCAGTATCATGAACGAGTAACAAACACAAACGCACATAGACACACGTACATACAAACTTTCGTATTTATAATAGTAATTCAATAATCCCAGGTGAACTTAAGAATCCATCTCGCAGCATCCCGCGGGGAACACTGACGGCTCTCCTCTTCACGGCGCTATCGTACGCGGCGCTATCTCTGCTGACAGCAGCCACCTGTTCTAAGGACTTGTTGCAGAACAACTACGTGTATTTACTGCCTATTAATGTGTGGCCGCCATTTGTTGCTGTAGGTGAGTGTTTGGATAGTATTTGGTCAAGTGCGAGTCGTGATTTAAGGCTTTGGTTTTTTTTGGGTCGATATTTTCCGATATTTTGTTTGGGTATGGGTTATAAGTATATTACGTTTTCTTTTTCAATATCATCTCCTTAATTTCATATTAATTTATTCATAATGTATGTCTGTGATTAGAATTATTACATGTATTTGTGTGTTAATTTAATGGTTTCGAAGAAAAAAGACTACAAAACATGCACATGGGTTATCCTATAATGAAGTGATTCCAATTTTTTTTATTATCAAGTATGTTGATAAGTAGAATTAGACCGGAAAAGGAACATTTTTTAAATCCTATTTTAAAATTTATTTATTAATCTCATTTAAAATTTAGTTTTTCTACATATTATGGATTTATGAAGTAAATATGTTTTGTTTTTCAGGAATGTTAACAGCTACTTTCTCTGCTGGTCTCTCCAATTTGATTGGAGCGTCCAGAGTTCTGGAAGCGTTGGCTAAAGATAATATATTTGGTAAGTCCAATTGAAACCATCAATCCTATGAAATAAGTATAATAATAAATGTTGGGACGTTAACACACAGCGCCATCTAGTCCATGGTAAGCTACGAGGCTTGTGTTATGGATACCAGATAGTTGATACACTACACATAATATATAACTTTAAATACTTACATATTGTAAATATAAACACCCGTGACTGGAGTACAAACATTCGTGCTCATCACACAAATGAATGCACCTAGCGGGACTCGAACCCGCGACCGCTGGCACATCAAGAAGGGTCACTACCAACTGAGCCAAACATGTCGTCATAATAGTTCAGTTGATGAAAAATTATTTCCTTTTTTCCATAATTTCTTGTATTAATTCATAATGATATTATTTAATTTTCTATAATTATAAGCGACTCATCCTCGTTTCTCTTGGATTCATACCTAGGTGCTTTTTAACGGTTAATATGGAATAGATAGACTATATATTATATATACATACATATAATGAGTTGTTGTGGGCTGTATTTTAAAGTATTTTACCGTGGGAACGTGATAATATCCCGCGGTAAAAAGTACTCTATGTCACTCTCCAGCCTACCAACTATTTCCACACAAATCACGCAAATCCGTCACTTTGTTTCGTCGTGAAAGAAGGACTAACATACAAACACACTTACATATTTATAATATTAAATATGGGTTTAGTAATAATTATTTTTATTTTGTTGTTAATAATAGGTTTCCTCCTCCGTCCCATGGTATCGCACTCGGGCAACCCTGTGCTCGCCGTCATAGCCTCCTGGCTGCTGGTGCAGGTCGGCATCATGGCCGACTCCTTGAACACCATTGCACAGGTTATTGTTCTATTACTGTTTTATTAGAAAAAATCTTTTGTTTTGTTCATCGTATAAAATGGTAGTTATCCCACGGGATAAAATATGTATGCCTATTGTCTGTCTTGTATGCCAAGTGTTATTGAAGAAGAAAAAATTAACTCATGTTTTGTTTTTATAATATTAATAACTAAAACAGAAACAAATTTATTCCTCGGGAACCGTATATTTTTCAGGGATAAAAAGTAGCCTATGTGTTATTCTAGACTATACTCTATCTCTGTGCCAAAATTCATCCAGATCCGTTCAGCTGTTCTGGTGTGAAAGAGTAACAAACATCTATACTCACAAGCTTTCACATTTATAATATTTATACAGATGATAAAGAATTAGAAACAAAATATTAAATTAAAACGCGAAAATATCCTTAGAAATAGGCGTATTACAGTATTATTATTGCAAAAAAATGATGATTTTATGTTATTTTTTCAGGTGAATTCGGTGCTCTTTATGACGAGTTACTTCGCTATCAATCTTGCCTGTCTTGGTTTGGATCTCGCGTCTGCTCCGAACTTTAGGTAAGAAATATTATTTAGCTTGAAGTTGGTTCTTTCACACATGCAGGTTTCCACACGATGTTTTCCTTCATTGAAATATTATAATCATGGTAATCATGTTGGAAATGATTGATATTTATTATTATTATTAACGGTTAGTATGAAATACAAATCTTTGAATTTCTCGGATTTTCTGTACTATAATATGCATGTATTATACATATAAACCTTCTTCGCAAAAACAGTATCAAAATCCGTCGCGTAGTTTTAAAGATCTATGCATAACAAAAGGACATACAGACAGCGGGTATTGACTTTGTTTTATACTATGTAGTGATTATTTATTATCACCCAGGCCGAGTTTCAAGCAGTTCTCGTGGCACACGTCGCTGCTGGGCCTGGGCGGGTGCGCGGCGCTGATCTTCGCGCTGCGGCCGGCGTACGCGAGCGGCGTGGCGCTGGCCTGCTGCCTGCTGGTGCTGGCGCTGCACCTGCTGTCGCCCGCCGCCGCCGACCCGCGCTGGGGCAGCCTCAGTCAGGCGCTCATATTCCATCAGGTACTGACGAGGACTGACACATCTAGCTTCGTGCGCTGGCCCGAGATCAAAAAAGTACTAGTTACACAATCCCATGCAAAACTTAATCTGTTTCTTAAAACTTAAAACAATTGTGTTTAGGAAATTATTCTAGGTGACATAAATATACAATAATGTAAATTGAACCTTAAATGCAATGTTTTAAGTTGTTTTCACAAAAAAAATTACGACCAAAGTTCTCCGGTCCTCGGTCGGGGTCGAGGTCGAGTGTTTATTATGACTTAATTTAAAAAAAAATGCTTTAAAATTGCTTTTACGGTGATTTCTTGAAAAATATCAGTATTTACAGTACAGTGATTACAATTATAATATAATAATAATATTGATACTTACCGAAAATATAAAACTCTTTTTTGCTATTTTTGATCGAATACCGAGACATGGTCGCCATTGGAGCATGCGAATGCTACTAAATTAAAAGCGCGCAAACATAACACAAGCCTCGTAGCTTACCATGGGGTTAGAAGGTGCTGTGTGTTAATGTCCCAACATATTTATTTATTTAGTATAATTATAATAGTGGTAATTCGTTAATATTCTTCAATTTTTTTCTAAAAACAAATAGGTCCGAAAATATCTCTTGCTGCTGGACCCTCGGAGGGAACACGTCAAGTTCTGGAGGCCGCAGATGCTTTTGCTCATCGGCTCTCCTCGACAGTCTGCTCCGCTTATTGATTTCGTTAATGATCAGAAGAAAGTAAGTATAAACAAACAAACAAACATACATACATATAAGTTGACTACAGAACCTTCTTTATGTCAAAGTCGGTTCGGTCACTTATATCAAATATGAGTTTAAAAGAATTTTTACCAAAATCTGTCCTCATCAGATTTTTTTTACGTTTTTATTTTACTCTGATATTTTATATTGTGCCTGTGATGTTTCACACTTAGCCAATTTTAGAAATATTATAAAGAGGTAAAGTGTGCAAGTTTTAATTTAGGGAGTATCTTTGAAACTGCTGTTCTGATTCTGAAAATTCTTACTCTCTATTTTTTTATTTTGATAAAAATATATTTGTTGTTAGAAATCATAATGGAATCATGTATGGCAAAATGAAACCTAGGTACTTACTCCAGCATAGCGAGGGTATGCCGCTAGCTTAAAATGAAAATAAAAACTAATCTATCCAATTTATTTTTTATCGATATTTATTAAATATTTTTTAAATTTTAATATTTTTTTTACTGTGGGTAGAGAACGTCTGTAACATCAGTAACTTTAGAGGCGTCAAAAACCTTAAGTTTCTATGAAATATGTAATAATATAATGTGTTTAGGGTGGTCTGTTCGTGATCGGACACGTGCGAGTGGGGCAGCTGGACGGCAGCGGGGACCCGCTGGCCGACGAGCACAAGTACTGGCTGCAGCTGATTGATCATCTAAAGGTGAGGATATTTCAATGGAAAAACGGACGACCCGACAGAACTATTTATGGAAATCTGTATAAATATTATAAATGTGATAGTGCATGTTGTGATAACCTGTAATTATTAATATAGTCATTTTGAATAAAACTCAAAATCAAAATCTTTTCGGATTTTTTCGCGAATTTATTTAGATCTTTGGTTCCCATCGTTTCGAATGCTTTTTACAGCAATCATGGTCATGGGAGAGACTGAAATCTAAGAAAGTATTAGGTAATTTACTCGTCAAATATGGTGACAGGTGAAAGCGTTCGTGGAGCTGTGCCTGGCGGAGTCCGTGCGGGCGGGCGCCGCGCACCTCACGCGGCTGGCCGGCCTCGGCGCCATGAAGCCCGACACCGTGCTGCTCGGCTTCTGGGACGACGCAGGGCCCAAGGACTTCTTCAGGGAGTGAGTCAACTGTTTCTTGGCTTGTTGTCATGTTCAGTTAACGTCCCACTGCTGGGTGTGGACCTCCCGCTAATACGAGGAGGATCAGGCCATAGTCCACCACGCTGGACAAGAGCGGGCGGACTGAGCATATCTTTCGATTTGTTACATTCTCGCAGACATGCAGGTTTCTTCGCGATGTTTTCTTTCACTGTAATACAAGTGGTGATCTTGTTGGAAATGATTCGTACGTGAAGATATCAGAGAAGACTCGGGTTTTGAATCCGCTTCACTTGATTTCCCAAGCGCGTTACCACTTGGCTACCACTGCTTTTTCATTGCCGTCTTGTTATTGCTTACTTTTAATTAAGGCAGTGGTGGTAATTTTCTCTTATTTTTTTTGCTGGTTTCATTCAGTTTAGACACTGACGAATCAGTCAAATAAGTGCATTTGTCAAAAAACGTACTGACAAATTGACGTATAACAACATATAATAATAATATGTTGCGACATTAACACTATTAATATTATTACTGCACTGTATTGTATTCTATTGCATTGTATATGAGTATGACGTCCCCCCCCCCCTCTCCCAGCCCGTCGTCGCCGTACAAGACGCAGCAGTTCGAAGCGGAGGGCGCGCCGGCGTTCCCGCTGCGGCCGCGGCGCGCGCGCCTCGCGCCCGCCGAGTACGTGCGCGTCGTGTCCGACGTGCTCTGCGTCAATAAGAACGTGTGTCTGTGCAGGCACTTTCACAACCTGGATATGGCCGCCGTTGAGAGGTCAGTGTGGAGCCGACATTATGTTTTTTTTTTCGCGGCACGTAATAAATTTGGTGTGTGTGAATTGGGATAATAAAAATGAACGAAAAGTGTATGTTGTATGTTGCCGTAAAGTGTAACGCTGCCAAGATATATGAAGATCAATAAGAGCGTTTGTCTATGTAGATACGTTTCCCACGACCTACATGGTTGTTGTTGAGAGGTGAGTTGTGCGAGTATTGTGTTAGTCCGCCATTTTTTTTTAAATTGCAATGAATTTGGTGTGAATGGTTGAAGGATATTTAAATGAACAAAATATGCCAGTAATATGATGTTATTAAGTGATACGTTTCTTAAGTATTTAAAGATCTGCGTCAATGAGAACGTTTATCTGTGTAGATACTTTCACAACCCTGGACATGGCTGCTGTTGAGAGATGAGACAGAGATTTTGTGGTATTGACGAATGGCGATTTTTTTTATTTTTTTTTAACTTGGAACGCACTTGAAAGTTTTATAATATATTATTACGAATTAGGTTACGTAGTAGAATGGAATATGGACCTTTTTATAGGAATAAAGAAAGCATATAGTATGGTATTTGAAAATATTGTTTCCTTTCTGGAAAATGTTACATCTCTTTCCTACTCACGGCAATTGACCATCAATTTATTGTGGCCGTTGATCAACTGTCGTGGCATCTACGTTAAGTATTTAGGAACAAAAGTAATACGTTGAATTTAGAAATTCGCGTAATACTAATAAAGTATAACGTGGTCCGCCGTGGTGGCAGGAGGGCGGCGTCGCTGCGGTACATCGACGTGTGGCTGGTGGAGGCGCTGGCGCCGTCGCGCGAGCAGGCCTTCACGGTGCGCGCGCTGTTCGCGCTGCAGCTGGCCGCCGTGGTGCGCTCGGCGCGCGGCTGGCAGCACCTGCGCCTGCGCGCGCACGTCGTCGCCGTGCCAGGTATATATATTTAAAATAAGGAATATATATTTAAAATAATATATTTAAATTTTTAAATATATATATTTAAATTTTTAAATATATATATTTAAAATAATATATATATATATATATATATATATATATATATATATATATATATATATATATATATATATATATGTATATATATACAAATTTTTATCCTCTATTTTACCCCCTTATGGGATGAATTTCAAGAAATGCTAAAACACGTATTTATTTGTGTTGAAGAGCATTAATACTAAGTTTCAAATAATTATAATTACAAATATTTTTCTGGTTTGTATTATAACGTGTTTTCCCGTGCGAATGACATTATTTCCCGCGGTAAAAAATAGCCTATGTCACTCTCCAGCCCTCCAACTATCTTTACACAAAAAATCACGGTAATCCATCACTCTGTTTCGACGTAAAAGAAGAACAAGCAAACACATATCCACATTTATAATATTAGTATGGATACGTATATTTTGAGCCAATGACCTACTATCCAATTTTGCTCTTTTGAACACAACAGCCAAATATTATCTGTGGCAACCATAGGTGAATGGTGCTCAGTAAGCTGTCAGTGGGTATTCTTGTAGGTCATCATTCACTCTACGGTTGGTTTTCTATGTAAAGGAGTTTTCCATGTACTTGTTGTCATATATTATTCCTACCTCTGACCGATTTCAGTCAGATATTATAGTGCAGTTGCTATGCCCGGTCAGACACTAAGTAGTAATGTCGACCGATTTTCAGACAGCGATTAATATCACTGAGACTGAACAACTACAGATATTTTAGTGCAGACATAAGTGTATTCTTAGTTTTATTCTCAAAAGTCTGATGGGTCGATGCTTTGATACAACCGGTGAGAGCTGACGCGATACGTGAGAGCCTCGGCATGGGGGTGAAACACCGACCAATTTCCTAACTGCGCGCCTGAGAATATCTTAACAGAATAACTCAGTAATTAATCTTGGATGATACTCAATATCATTTAAATAAAAGTATATTTTAATATTTTTTCGCTTATTTTGATCGTGCTTATATTCGATTTATTTTGATCGTGCTTATATTCGAATTATTTTGACCATGGTTATGTTTTCGTGGCCATATTTACTGTAAAGCATATGAAACATCACTAAGGAACCAAAAATGTAAATAAATCCACGAGAACACCCGAAAAGATTAACCCACTAGCATCCCATAGAAATTTGAAACAAAGAATAGATTGCGCTAGTGTTTACACATCCACTTGTGCACTATAATATCTCATACGTAATTGGCTAGGCCCTGTGAGATTGCCAGTCTGAAGATTATTATTACTTTTAAATTTCTCTCAGGGTTAGATTTATGAAATACCCTAGGTATTAGTTGAAGTTTATTCTTAAACAATTTAATTTCTCCAACATTACTTATATAAAATATCTTAAACAAGCGATAGCGCGTTTTACAATACCTCTAATACCATATATTACAAATACATATATGTATGTAAAATTATAATAAATTTAAATTTTGAACTTATTATATAGAAAATTATACAAATGATAAATATTTTAGGTAGTTCGATTTAATAATCTGACTTAAGTTTACATGATTTTCTCAAAATGTGTATTAATTATTCAATTATATAACAGAAGAAGCAGGTCGTACATTCTCAACGGGATTGGACCCAGCCTTGGACCCGAACATTCCAGAACTTTCTCCGGGACTACCAGTCCATGAGAGATTGGACCAGTTGCTCAAACTGCTTAGAATAAGCGCAACTGTTCATACTGTAAGTTTATAGCAAAACTTTTGTATTAGGTATAAAATTATCTCCTCGAATAATGTTTTTAATCTTCGATGTAAGAAGGGATTATATGTAAGTTTAATGTGTATATTTGTGTATCTGTCTCTTTAATTGTAGCGCCCAAACAGATGAACCGATTTTAATTTAGTTTGTTTTTGTTTGAAAGGTGACTTGGTCGATAGTGTTTTTAGCTATAAATCAAGAAAATCCGTTCAGCCGTGTGCAGGCAATGAAGGCAAAAGGATATGAACAACTTCCACAACATCTAATCTTTTCGAAACTCAGTATCTCGTTACTTTAATGACATTGCAACGATATGGTAACCTTGGTCTGATGCTGCAGCGTCACCTTGAATCTGCAAGATAATCAACTCTTTACTAAAATACTGCATAGGTACTTACTGCATGTTTAGGATCATTAAAATTTACTCAATAGATTATTGTGTTTTGGGGGTTTTTAAAGTTTGAATTTAAGAGTTATTTTCAATTATTTTAAGTAATATAATTTTTTTTACATATTTGTTATTAAATTATTCTTCTTAGGTCACTGAATGGCCGAAGTTGGAAGATACGAGCCAATGGTCGGACTCGACGAGTCTAGATGAGAACAGCGTGTATCAGAGAGTGCCTATGAATTACTTGCAAAGGTAAACATATCTGCTCTATATAGCCCTTTTATTTTGCATTTGTATTCAGTCCTATTTAACGTCCCACTGCTGGGAGTGGGCCTCCCTTCAATACGAGGGGGATCACGTGTCCAGCGTGGTGAACTATGGAGTTCACCACGCTGGACAAGTGCGGGTTGGCGGACTGCCATAAATATTATTTTCGAAAATTTTACAAATTCTAATTCCATTTTTTTTATTCAGCATTAAATTTTTCATTTTTTCGTCATCAACTGAATGTCATGAGTCTACTACCAGTTCGGAAAGAAGAAGACCTGAGAACTGGCGAAAAAACTGAGTGGAACTAAAATATATATTTATTTTTATCTTTTTTATATAAATTATAAATTACAATAATTCAACAAAAATTGAACTAGTCTGGAAGCGCGATTTTGACATTACCTGTTTAAAAACTAATGATATCTATGAGTACTTTTTTGTTCGATGATATATCTATATCAACAGAGTGAACAGTATAATCAAATCTCGCTGCGAGGAAGGCACGGCGGTCACGTTCGTACAACTCCCGCCGCCGCCGAAACTGCCGCCTACGCCTTCGTCCAAGGACGACGCCATATGCGAACAGTATTTAAAGGTAAATTGTGTAGATAAATAATTATAATATTTTAGATTTACACGATTATTTGACGTTTTAAATAGAACTATTTTATTTTTGCAGATTTATTTTGATTTTTGGTTTCCGACGTTTCGAATGATTTACAGCAATCGTGATCATGGGAGAGAATCTCTCATTTTCCTTTCAAGAGGAATGTTACGTTTAAAAATACTATTATAAAGTTGATAAAGAAAAAAAAATGCCACTTAGGCCTTAAGTGCTTTTTTTTTAAATGGTGGTTTTGAAAATCTGAATTATATTTAGACATACGAAAAATATAAAAAAATGATAAGATTTTTTTCATCTATAGGCCATTAATATGTTTTTTTTTTATTTTCAGATATTAGACGAATTCACAAAGGATCTATCCCCGACTATACTCGTCCGAGGACTTAAATCTGTCACATCCACGTCTCTATAAAACTGACATTTTACACATAGACTAAATATATTTTTATAAACATATAGACAAAAAGGTTTTAATAATGCGACATTTTATATAAAATCTATTTATGTTTTATGTATTATTATGACAAAAGCAATCATGTTTAGAAAAAAATGATTCTCATATATCGTATTGTATGTATCTTCTTATTATTTTATGATCTATCGTATTCTATATATTATGTGTTTGGTAAAAAATTGAACTGAGGATTTTTTTTATATTTTTTTTCTTTATTTTTTTCTTTTATTTTTTTATCGTGATATGTTAATTTTACGTTAATTAAAATCTTAGGTTTAAGTAAAGACCTTTGCTTCTTTTTTTAAATAAATTAGTTAAATTATTAGCTAAATTTAGCTTATTTTATATTAATGTATCTTTATTGGGTGGTACGTCATAAAGTTAAAACTGTGATGCTAGTTTCAATTCCTTATTATTAAGTGCGTTTCAACATTTGATTAATTTAAAGTATTATTTGACATTTAAGTTTTAACTATGAATACGTCTAAAAGGCGCCATCTATAGCTTAAGATGACTTTTATATTATATTTTTTTAGTTTATAATATAGCTGGCAACACTAATAATATAAATAATTTGTAGTATAATCTGTTGAATGTGTTAATTTATAAGGTTTACATTTTGATATGAAAATAAAACTAAAATATAAGGGACAAACCCCAAAATATAACTTGACATGACAAAATAAAAAAAAATTGTTGCCAGTTACGCTTAGATTAGAGAATTATTAATTAAACAATATTATTTTCTTATAATCATTTATATTGCTATGATACTCGAATTTACATATTTCCATGTCGATATCAATTATGTCATATTTAAATATATAATTTGTTATAATAAATGTCGATAATCGAAGATTCTGAAGTATTGGGAGAGTATAAATATTATATATGTAAGTGAATGATCTCCTAAACTTATTTTTAGTTTTGCGAACTACATTGACATTTTCCGAATAATGCGTGAATATGCGTGATTTTTTTATTTTTAATACAATAGCTTACATCTTTATATAATTGTAAAATAAGTATCAAACTCCAAAAAAACTACAATTTAGTTTTTTTTTAAATATACCGGTACGGATACTTTAAAACACCCGCCATTTCGCGCGCTTGGTGTGACGTCATAGTATGATATACACAGAAAAATGACGACTCAATTTGTAAAGATAAAATCACTAATCGCTCTGTTATGATATACTCTGACGTCATATTTGGTCTGACCAATGGCGTTGCGTTTCAACTACTTTGAATTTCCTACCTATATTTGCACTTTTTAATAATTATTTGCTTAATCAAAAATAAATTACATTAAAAAATAATAATATAGGCTTAATTCAAAAGCAACACATATTACAAAAAAAGAAATTTTTTAACCTTAGTTTAAATCACACACATATTCCATATTATTGTTACTCGCTAAAGCATTATTAAATGTTATAAAAGATAAAAGTCCATAGCGACAACTTAATTAATAACTTTAAAATTATCTATATTCAGTTTTTTCATTTATTCAAATTTCATTATTGAATATAAAATACTCTTATTAAAATTGTTAAAATTTTTCTTTTTTTTATTTACCTTTGATGTTTTGAATTTATATATATTTTTTTTAAATGTGTATTATTATAATTATTCATTCATAACTTTATATGTGGTACTTTTTAGTAATAAGACGATATGAGAACTATTGAAATTCTGAAATTTTAGTTTTAAACCATTGGACATATTGATTGATATCTTCATAAGTATATTTATTGTATTGATTATCTTCTTTTTGATAAACTTTAAAAAGGAGGTATTCAATATGACCATTTTATTCATAGTTTAATTCAATACCTTAATAATTTTTAATATGAGATGGAGTTAATCTATATAATATACATAAAATGCTTTGTCCTGACTGACTGATCGATCAACGCACAGCCTGAACCGCTGGTCGTAGAAACGTGAAATTTAGAGGACATATTCCTTATACAATGTAAGCATCCACTAAGAAAGGATTTTTCGAAATTTATCCCCTAAGGGGGTGAAATTGGGGACAAAATTTTATATGAAACTCTGTCATTCTTAACGCGAAATGCACGGAAAGTGGTATTTATTTACAGAATATACGCTTAACATCTTTTAAGATACTGGTTAATACTTTGAGTTATGTTAGCTAAAATTGAAATTGTTTTCTATATATCTTTAAGAAATAATAAAACTTACACGAACTTATTTTGGCAAGTAATAAAGTATGTATTGCGAAAAAGTTTTTTTTGTAGTTTAATTGCGGGCGAAGCCGCGGATTCTGCTAGTTATAAATAAAATTATTCCCATATTTAAATAAACGAAATTTGTCAATTGCTTATGAAATGCCTTTAGATATTGTATAGATTTTATATTTAATCATATTTGTATTGTCGTAATCTGTACTAATGTTATAAAGAGGCAGAGTTTTTTTGTTTGTTTGAACGCGCTAATCTCAGGAACTACTAACCCGATTTGAAAAATTATTTTGCAATAGATAATCCGTTTATTGAGGAAGACTATACGACGAATATCATATAAATTATACTTTATAGTCTGTCTATTCCATACTAACCGTTAAAACGTTCCTAGGGAGGAATCCGAGCGAAGCGTTGGTGAGTCGCTATCTAATATAAATTAATATCTTCCAATTGATCTTTTTTTTTCTCCTCATCTTTCTATTTATATCTTTCTTTTTTCTTATAAAAGTTGCTTATTGGCGAAATAATTTATGTACTGTTGGACTACGACGTTACAATTTGTGTCTTATGATGTAGATAATAAGGTTTATATTTAGATATTTTTTTACCAACACTTATTCTACACAAAGTATAACACCAAATATTACAACTTAAATTGTTTTTGATAAATGTCATTTTATTGAACATTTACATATGCTAGGGGAGCCCAAGAGGGGATATTTGCAGTTACTCAAGCGCGGCAGATTAACACACTGACGGTTCCAAGTAGTTTTACCGTATCAAAATATTTTTTTAATATTTTGATCAACAGAGTGCAAGGTATTCCCCCTTATGTTAATCTGCCGCGCTCGAGTAACTGCAAAAATCCCCTCTTGGGGCTCCCCTTCTATAGTTTAAATATATTGACGAAAAATTGACAAGTGTAATAATAGTATAATTTATCTAAAAAAAAATTTTTATACTTTGATATCTTAATTTAGCCGTCTCTGGCTTTTTAACTACTGTATAAAAAGTTATATTAGTTTATGAATTACTTTTATTTTGTTACCATTATCTGTGGAATTAAACTTTTTTATCTATATATTTTATTTTTTTCATCAAAATTTAAAATTTATCCTGCAAAATGAATATTTGGCATATTTTGCCAAAGGTCGCTGGTTTGATCCCTCTGAAAATTTTGTGAACTACTCTTATATAAAATCAAATATATATATATGTGTATTATATATAAATAATTGTATAAAACCTGTTCTTATCGGAATAATTAAGACATTACTAAAAGCCTGGACTTTATTGTTTAAAATAGCAAAATGAACTAATCTTAGGGTCTACACACACAATACACATTACGTGAGTTGCATACTACATTTTGTATTGACTTAATAAATGCATGCGTTTGTATACAAACGCGTTTCACGCACGTTGGTAGCGCGTTAAAAACTCATCGTGTGCATAGTCCCTTAGCTTAATTATAGTGATAAACTTAGAGTTATCCCCTTTAGAAGGGTTATCTATTAATTACGTGAGCTGTGTTTTTCTTTCAATTTAGATTAACCCCCCCCCCCTCCCCCCTCTTTGATGACATTAAGTGACATTTGGTGCGGATCCTAACCGCCTCCCTCCTCCCCATCCCCAACTCCCTTTCCTATCATGTGAGATTTACGCTATAGTTGTTAAAGTATTACATTTATTTTTATAAAGTATAAAAATAAAAGAAAGTTCACGTGTTTTTTCAGCGGGCAAAATAGGTCCCTTCAAAAGAAAGGAAAGAGTTTTTAAATATCTGTGTCATATATATTTTCTTTTAAAGTTGACGTGAGATTTTCAATTACGTTTAAATGAGATTTGATGAGATTTTACTTGACTCTCCCTCCCCCATTTGTAGCTCACGTAGTTAATGGATGCTCAAAGTAAAAAAAAACAACTATTAGTGTATGATTATTCATTGTTCGAAATAATGGCAAATATGTAATCCAAATATGTAAGATGGCACCCGTAGTCCGACTCGTATTGACCAATTTTGTATAAAATGTAGCATGTAATTTAGGGATTGATTTCTTTAAGTAGCTAATATTTGTATTACTTAAAAATATATTTATCATGTAATCTGATTTTCAATAGGTAGTTTTATTTTTCAATTTAAATAAGACATTTTAAGTCTTTGAAATTTAATGGTCAATCAGTATTATTATGGTATACGGCGGCATATTTAGAACGGAATATGAATTATGACCATGGCGCTTATAACTGTGCCGAAATATCGGGAGCTCTCAAAAGTATGTGCTACACTTGGTAAATATTCCATTGTACACCATAATAAGACATTTCTTATTTCGATTTCGTAACAAACTCCTTTCTAAATTAGCTTTAAAATCGATTAAAAATTACATATTTTAAAGTTTAATTTATCGCATTTATGAACATTTAAAAGATTTTTTATTTGAATTATAATAATTTATTCAGTGAGTCAAGCGTGATGTGTAATGAGGGATCAATAGACAGTGTATTCTTTGTGATATGGGCAATATATGGTATATTTTAACTTTGCCTTTTATTTAACTCATTTATACCCGACTATTCCAAAAGAAGGATGATGTTCGTCGATAGATGAGTCGATGTAAGCATATTAAATGTATATCGCGCACAATCCAATATCTTCAAAATTAATAAATTTTCGATTGGGTGATTCTAAGGAAGGATTACAAAAATTAGAGAGAAATATATGTTTTTCTTTATTTTATTAAA